GTCACTCTACTAAGATAGTGTTGTGATTCTGTTCGTTGTTGTAATTCTTCTAGTGCAGACAAGGAGGATTGGTGTTGCTGAGAGGCTGCCCTGTGTTACATTGAGATAAGTAGTGTTGCTGTTGGTTTACATATTTTGGTGTTATCATGTAATTACGTACCTCACGTTACACTGGTGTGTGATTGTGGCGGAGACGTGTTACGGTGTGGTTGAACTGTAATTTCACTATACTGAATGTATAGTGCGTTACGCTGTCTTATTACTGATAATGATTAACTGCGTAAGCAAGAGAGCAAGTTGAACATCCGCTCTCACACTTTTATTATTTTTAACAATTAACGCTATCCTGATGTATTTCCAAGATCAAAATTGGAATCCCATGTTGTAATTCTCCGACATCAGAAGTGGGATCTCCTGTTGTCATTTCCGATATATATCTTAAGAATTAATTAAGTAACTAAGCTTAACATTTTTAAGTAACTGTTTAGCTATTTGAATGTATTTATTTACAACGAAACATAAACTAGAACTTAATGCGACTCTTTAGTCGTTATTATATTTTATATAATCGTAGATATATTAAAATTAGTTTGCAATTTGTAATATATATACATACACATACTCATAGACATACATATATACATACATACATACATATATACATATACATACTAGTATTGCTTAGAAGTATACGCTTGTATCGCCAATTCAATACTGACTCGGGTAGTTTCCAGAACCTTCTACTGTAGAAACATCTAGAATGTTCGAGTACATATCGGTCCCGAAATTTCTAAAAGGATCTTGACTCTCCTAATTCTGCTACTCGATACTAGAAGGCGCTAGTGGTAACTAGTGTTGCCATGTACACGACATTAATAGTGGCGCGCAAGAGGAATATAATCCGAAGTTCCGAAGCTCCGCTCGACCCCTTGGGGAAAATAGCGTAATGCTATGAATATTGTACTAGTATGACGGTGAGGCTGTGCGGTTGGTTAAGTAAGGTTATACATTTATTTTGGGTGATAAATAGATACTATGTTGGGTTCATAATGGCTTAAAGAGGATAATCTCAAGATTTATTTTGTCTTTAAGGTACTACAGTTTTATAATGTATGAAAATCTGTCTCTATATTTATCTAGGGTTGGATTTAGAATCGTTTGGCAGGAATTTGGGGAAGTAAGGTGTTTTATTGATTGGTTTGGTCTCCGATTATATTAATACCACTCACATTAAAAGGTAATGCACCGTTATCGAATAAATAAATAACAAGTATTATAACCTAAAACGCGTAAAACATGGAAAAACGTATGCAATATTACTGTGAAAGCTAGATAGCACACAGAATTTTGTGTAAGTGCGACAAGGACGTAAGACTAGTGTCACATTATTCTACTGTCTATACTCTCTGTCAAGTGTCAAATAAGAAATGATTATAATATTATACTGTTTTATTTCAGAATTGTTTAAAACTGCCCAGAAATATTTGAACACCCAGATATACTTTAGGTTGTAATAGGTTAGAAATATGTGACGGAAGCGAAGGCAACCTGGCTATCTATAAAGATAAGATCTTTATAGATAAGATAAGATCTGATCTAATCGAATCTGTACTAAAATTGAATTAGCACGCCCCGACTCCACGTAGGCTTGTCTGCCCTACTCCTAGTGTTTTTGTAAAGCCGTAGGCGCTGAACGCAAGGTTACGCTATGCAAAGGCGAAGGGCGAAGGGGCTGTACTCCCTGCTGGGCCGCTGTTTACAATTTTCCTGTGTAAAAAAGTGAGGTTATGATTAAAAAAAACCATTACTCATAAACTATACTTTTCCGCAAGGAGGAAAGGGTAGAGGGACTTTCCCTGATACGGCGCACTCCTGCTCCCCTCTGCCCCCCTCGTGCCGGAGACGATAAATGTTATCATTTTGAGGTTAGGTCTATCAGATATTCTTTTTGATTTTCCTCAAAAACAATATATTACCTTTTAATGGGAGTGGTGTCGGGAGTAAGGGGACGCTCATCCCCTCTCCTCCCCCCTGCCCCCTCCTGCCAAACGATTCTAAATTTCAACCTTTATCTATATTTGTCGTTAAGTTTTGTAGTTGTTAAGTTTTGAAAGTTAAATTTTGAAGTCTTATTATAACAATATTTTACTGGTACAAATAATGTAGAAATGACTTCTTTTAATAAAATTATTTTTATACTACTTTTTCTTTTATACTTCTCAAGAGAATGTTTGTTGCAAATTGTGGAGTTCTTCTTTGCATTACAACCAACCCGTCCAATGAACCTTAACCATTTTGTCTAATTATAGAATCCGGAGGGAATCTGTTTGACAAACGGCAAAATAAAATACATTTTAGAACGCAGGCCAAGGATTTATTTTCTTGTTGTGTAGGCATGTCTATCGATTCATTATAAATATTCAAGATAAATATCGATATTAATTTTGATATAGTTGAGTCAATCCCTACCGTAGGTACATGTAAAATATTTTGTATAAAAATGTATTTATCAACTTCATGCAAATTATCAACAACGTGACTTTTTTTCTTTGTAAAATATCAAAATAAACAAAATAATTGAAAACGTTTTATATTTTAAACAGTATATAACATAAATTTTAACCAAAAATAAACGCTTCATAACATTGACAACGTCTTGAGAATTTACCTGTGAAATGTGCAATTATCAGGATAATTTCTATTATTAACACCACAATCACTCACTGAACAAGTAAGCATTTTGGAAAAAAGTTATTTAATAAAAATAACCACTATTACACTTTAAAAAAATACAAAATATCTAGGAGCTATTTCTTGCGAGCCGAATTGCGCCGATCTGTCATTCAAAATCGATTACAGAGTCATGAGATTTGGTATCCTTTTCTATCTTTCATTTTTGCCATAAGGAATTTTCTTCTCCCTTGCACACTATGTTGGTCTATACGCCAGTATATTCTAAGTCTATGCGAAAAACACACTTATCGTATGCCGCGCTATCAGAGCTTCTGACGTAACGTCGACCTGCGATATTCAGATCGGCGTAGGAAAGTGGAGGGGATGTACGTTCGCAATCCAACGCGTACGCGTAGCACGTCATAAACAAATAGTACCTTGCAATAGACAAAAAGGGTGCACGGTGCGTTGTATTTGAGCATCAAAGCAAATGAATCATTCTCAAACTCACTCTCGGAGTCAGAAAACATGGTAGGGTAAGGAGTACAATGATTGACCCTATGAGGTGATCATTGACTTTGAAAATTTCTTTTACCTAAATAAGGTTCATAATCATATAACGTTTGCTGTCAAGTTGTGCTTAAGAACCTGAGAAATTGAATACACAATCATTTTGCATCCAATTTATAACTTTATTGCAATAAACATAAAAAAGGAGACAAAAGTACAATCAATGGCCGTTGGAGTATAGAAATTGGCATATCAAAAGTTATAATAATTGGCATGATGTCATGAGTTACGATATGGCGGCAATCGAAAGAATTTTTAAAAAGAATAAAATTAATTTAATTTCAGAAAAGTTACAAAAATATTAAATTCAATTAAAATGTAAAGTTACAAAGAAGTTAAGTGTGGATGGTACCAGGTTGCGAGACAGTTCCATTGTCTCCACGGCGGTCCTTTCCGCAGCGCAAGCATTCCTTATTTGCCCACTGTTCTGTGTAACTGCTATGTCAGGGTATTCCAGGGTTACGACACGTTAACTCATGTCATGTCCCTATTGCCTATTATTATACAATTTTAGGGCCAATCACTAAAAAAAATATAATATTTAACGATAGTGATGTGCAGGGTATAATTTTTTTATCGGTTTATATTTACATCGAGCTTTCATCCATATTTAGGTATTCATTATTAAGAAAATTACTATTATTATATTATATTCATTATTAAGTTTTTCTCCATTACGGAATATATCTCTTCTGTTTAGTATGGGGTTGGGTTTGGATAAAACGAATGGTACCTTTGTATTAACGCAGCTGTTTTCATTAAAAATATTTCTTGGATTATGCATAACGTACGCCTTCACAACAGACAAAATTTTAATGTTACTTTCTTTAGCTTTAGGCTTTGGAGAAGTTTTTTAATCTGGTTTGCATCTAATCTTGACTTAGTCTTGGTATCATCACACTTAAAAATATTGTTCTCAGTCTCTTTATTACATAGATCTATTTTAATTTTTTTATTGTATGCAGTGGTTATTGATTTATCATATTTTCTTTTTCGTTCTGTTATTTCGGTTTTTGTTTCCTCTTTATTTTTTCTGTTATTTTCTTCACTTTTTGAATTAATGTTTAATAAACTCCTAGGAACTTTTTCTTCTTGTCTCAATATTTCATTGTTTTCTATGTTTTCCGGATCGATTTCCATTATTTTGGTATTTTTTGATTTTTTTGTGACGCTTTTTACTGTCTGTTTTTTCTCTTCTCTCTTTTTTACGTTCTTCTTTCTCTTTTTCCTTTGTTTTCTTCTCATTTTTTTTCTTTTCCTCGATTTTAAAACATAAATGGGATTGTAAATAATTTTCCCATTACGTTGTGGTGTCTGGGGCCAATTGAGAATTTTAATTTTGGAGGTGTCATTTCGCTATTGCATTTAGCATTGTCAAAATTAATATCATAATTTTTGTTATTTTCTGTATCTGCTATTTGGTTTTGTTTATTAATATTTGATTTGTCAATAGTCTCTGTAATGTCATCTATTACTAATAAATTTGGGTTTGTTTTTTCATTTGACTCTTTGTTTAGAACATTAACAGTCCCTGTACTGGTTCTCGGTTTGTCAATATTATACATTTCAGCAATAGTTGTTAATTTAAGTGACATTAATTGATTAGGGCCTCTAACGACATTATCACTGGTAGGTTCCAGAACATTTAATATTTCATTTGTTAAGTAATTTTGAGTGTCTGAATCTGAATTCGCTGTAAGTTGGCTCCGTTTATAATTAGTCATTTCAATAGTATTCCGAATATCTGCTGACAAATCCTAGGACTCTGTTTCAGTAATCTCTATAGTTTCAGTTTCAATAGTCCTTGCATGATATTCTTCAATATTATTGGGATTTGAAATTACGATCGATATGTCATTTATTGCCACCAATTCATTGTCAATTACTAAATACTCGCTTAAAATAGTACAGTCTTCCTGTTCTATATCTTTGCCTTTCAAATGGTCGTATATATCTTTTAATGCTTTATAAAAACAATTCGATTTATCCGGTGTCACAGAAATAAGACGGGATACGATGTTTTGTCCCACGATTTTTTCAGAGTCTGTAAATGTTATTGCCCTTTGTGGTCTGTTTTCTTGAATTCTGGTCGATTGGGTCACATTTTACACACAGGCATTTTACATTTCACAAGGAATTTTCGGCAGTTAATTGCATTCGGATTCATTTCATTTATTTATTTATCCAAGGATACAATCCACAAGCTCGAAATCCATTTACAATAATTTGTTTGTCTATATATTTCTTTAATACTATACTTAGTATTGGTCCAAAGACAATTTTTGTCAAATTTTTTGTCGCATTTTCCCTTCTCCATTCTAATACTCCCTTTTTCCATGCACTTTTTATCGGCTTAAAGGCAGCTACATCTGCGAGTTGTAAGATGCGAATCGCGTTTGGGTATAATGCTATGAGCATTATACCTCTTTTGTGTTCATCAACAAACTGAAGAATGGAGAATTTGGTATTTTCTTTTACAAGATGTGGATGTAAAGCATTAGTAATGTATTGTAAAAACAGATCTTTGTTCATCCATCCATTTGATGACAGACCTATACCCCAATCTGGTTTTAGCCCACATTTCGCAGGCGCGTTATCCACTTCATACACGTCGCGAGTACCTTTTAGGGCTAAAACTTTGAAGGTTTTTGAACACAACAAGAAATTTGTTTTTTCGCCGTTAAAAATACGTTAAGGATCTCATAGAATATGCAGAAATTCTTCCTCTTCTAAACATGTTTCAATTTGCTGAAACCATTTTTTGATGTTCTCTTCTGATACATTGGCACTTGTCGAAGTAACGGCTTCAGCTGTTCTTTGTACTATTTTGGGGTGACGTTTTAGAAACAACTTGTACCACCACTCTCCTGGCTTATTATCTATAAAATTATTTGGCCTAGGTGATTTCTTTAGAAAATCGGTAACACATTGTAATAGATCTTCTTTACGCCGTGGAAAACCTTTTCCACTGCTTTGTATTATGCACTCAACCAAAGTGTTTTCCTCGTCATTTGTAAGGATTGTAGGCGGACCCGGTCGGGTTTTTAAAAAATTCCCTTGCAATCGAAACTGCAAAGTTCCTCGGGGTAATAAATACTTTGGGAGCTGCTCTTTTAGACATACCATTTTGAATCGCTTGGAGTGCCGCTTCTAAATCTTCTTCAGTATATTTTTTTTTATATATTTCTCCTTTTGCAGACTTTGGCATTTTTCTGCAACAAGGCAGCTTATTTTTATTTTGTAAAAATCCCTATGGTGTTTTGAAATATTCACTTGTTTTATTAGTTACTATATAAAACTTACGAAAAAGTAAAAATATAGCATAAAAACAAAAAGTAATAAATTATTTTGAAGCAAAAACCAGATTACACTATACTAAAAAGATAAGAAAAGTCTTAGGTTTCAAAAGTTTTAAACGATATTAAGCTGAATTAAACAACGCATGACACACTCAAATTCACCAATCCGCTCAGGCAAAGAATTAGACATTTAAACATTCGTTTAATATGTAACTCATAAAATACATTACCAATTAAATAAGTATATACATAATTTAGTATCGACATCGGTACATCACTGCGTATTTTAGATCTCTTTGTACAAAGAGTAGCATAGCTAAAAGTATAATGATTATCATGGCCAATAACGTAAAAGTATAATGATTGGCCCAGGCTAAATATAGTTACTGCGATCTTACGACATTTTGATTATTATTAAGGGAGTTGTCAGTAGCATTTAGCAAAAGCTTAAAATATTAGAGTTAATTTAAAACGCTTACTACTATTATTGGCAGGGATGCCAATCAATTAATCTTTCATGTCAACCATGGATACTAACTTTGGCCTACTTATTTTTCGGTTATCTTGAGTATTTTTCCATCAATTATGGTATATAAATCTAAATTGAATGGTAATCTTTATATATAAAAATTACGTGTCACATTGTTTGTCCGCGATGAACTCCTAAATTACTGAACTGATTTCAATGAAATTTTGCACAGTTTGGTCCAACTTGAGAGATAGGATAGTTTTTATCCCGATAAGTGTAGTATATTGTGGGTATATTGATATTTTGTGATATATATACATTTGTGACATAAATTAGCTAGCGTTTATTTTATTACATGGTGACAGCGGTGAAAATAAATTACATAGTCAATGTAAAAGTAACATTGTTGATAAGGGAATTTATTTTTGACGTAAATTGTTTATTTTGTGTAAAAGTAAGTGATGGAACACGCGCGACCTCCCGTAGAATTAGTGCTCGGAGGCGGCTCGAGCAGACTCATGGCGCAAGTGGCGGAAACAATTTGAGGTGTTTCTTAAAGCCTCGGGAGTGGCTAACGAGGAAAGTTCAGTGCAGGCTAGTTTACTCGTCAACCTCATTGGATCGCCGGGTTACGAAATCTATTCGACCTTCACGTACCTCAAGGACGAAAGTGAAGACGATATTAAGTGTTTGGTAAAAAGGTTTCATGAGTATTTTGGGACAAAACCTAATGTCACGTTATCCCGGTTTAAGTTTTTTACGCGAGGCCAAGAGGAAGGCGAAAATATAGATCAATATGTTACTGCACTAAAATTGCTAAGTCAATCTTGTGAGTTTGGTAATCTAAATGAAAGCTTAATACGGGACAGAATTGTCTGCGGTATCGTAAGTAACATTGTACGTGATCGGGTACTTCGTACGGATGATTTAACATTAGAAAAGGCGGTAACATTAGAAAAGAAGGAGGAAAGTTCATGCATCGAGAATGGTCCTGGCGGTAGTGAAATGCGAGTTGATGCTGTAAGGGATGCAAGCGGGGTACGACTTTCCATTGACGTGCGTCGAGTTTGGTGTTGATACGTATTTTTACAGAAAGACTACATTTTTATAAGCACACACACAAAGTTTCAATACGCGGAAACATGTACTTTTTGAGAGAAAAGTATTGAAAATCAAATATTTTTGCAATATTTATATCAATTTACATTTTAGAATAGCAAGCGACAGGTTAGAATAGCAACTCGTTTAGTATGTCCAAGACACAGTACATCGGCATTTCGAGGTAGCTTTCGTTATTCTGCCACGAAATGCTGGAACAACATTCCACCACCAATTAGAAATCTAGCTTCAATCGGTTTGTTTAAATATAACTACAAAAAATACTTACTCAATATTCAAAAGTCAATTTATTGAAAATTATTTACTGTGTCTTACATACTTTGCTATTCCGTTTATTCGTTTCCTTTTAATCTTATTTAAGTAATTGCTATTTATATTATATTAATTTATTATAAGTACTTATGTATGTTTTATTACTTATTATTATTAGTGTAATCGTGTATATGGTTTAAATATACTGTATTTGCATATTGACTTAACATTGTATAATAATGAATATTGTTAAGTTTTGTTTGTGTTAAATGTTATCGGCACCCACGGAAGATCAGTGTCGAAGTACTTTGTTAGTACCAAGACTATGCTGAGTTGGGTACCTTTTTAGTAACCGTTTATCTTAATATGTTATTATGGTTAGCAAACTTCTAAAATGTGTTACTAAATAAACTTATTTTCTTTCTTTCTTCTTTCAATTCCTACCTACTATGAAACTGACGCCATTTTTTATTATTTTTGTCAGTAGGGATGTCGATTCTTTCCGAAAAAGATCGAGTTTTTAAATAGATTCGAATTGTAAGCTGATGTATCGATTCTCAAAAAATCGATTTCTAAAATATTTATATTTTTTCATGTTTGCATTTATAATGTAAATATAAATCCATTTTATGAGAAAAAAATTCCCTTCGTCATGAAAAAATAAGGGGACTTATTCAGAAGGATTGCTGTATCTATTTTGAGACTGCCACATCTCCGGCGCTGCATGAAGAGCAGCTCCGGCTCTATAAAACCACTCTAGGGGTAGGACAGACTCGTACCAGGTGGAGTCGGGGTCAATCAATTCGGTTCTTTGACATAAGTTGAACCTAACCTATTTTATTTCTTATCTGCCCTAATAGGTACTGTTAAATAAAACAAATTTCAATAAGAGATCATTTATCATGGTATCTTTCTTGTTTTTCATAAAATAGGTTTATATTTACATTATAAATAGAAACATTAAAAAATTATAGATATTTTAGAAATCGATTTTTTGTGAACCGATACATCAGCTTACGATTTGAATCGATTTAAAAATCGACCTTTTTCGGAAAGAATCGACATCCCTATTGACGTCGACATTGACATTACAAAATGGCGCCAGTTTTACGGTAGGATTAGACATAAACATTGCAAGAATAATTTTTTTTTTTTTTTTTTAAAAATACTAGTAATGCTATTAAACATTACTAATATTCCCTTTAACCACTTCTGGTAAGCTTAAAATGCTTGTGTTAGAAGTGGTTCACGACAGTAGTCGAATGGCGGATTCGAACCCACGACCTTTCGAGTTCGCGGCCCGCGCCCTGCCATTAGGCTACTGATGCTTATAATTATTTAACTAAAATTAAAATTAAATAATTGATTTACAATAATTCTTTTCTCAAAAATTACGCGTTTCCGCGTGTTGAAACTTTATGTGTGTGCTTATAATAGTGTAACTTTTCTGTAAAAATGCGTATCAACATCTAACTCGACGGACGTGAATGGAAAGCTAAGCCGCAAACGGTCGCAGCTACGGCGGTGTACGACGCAGCCGTGGAGTAAGGTAGCGCGGAGCGAGGCGCAGCGCTCGTGGCCGCGGACCGGGGTTCGGTGCCGGTTTGGCGACTTCGCGAACACGCTGCTTGTCATGTGGTAATGGTTGGTGCTCCACTGACGACCGGTGTCCGGCGCGGGATGCATTGTGTTATGTGTGTGATAAAAAAGGGCATTTCGCTGAAGTGTGTGTGCATAAATATACATTACGCGATAAGGTTTTAAACTTGAATGAGTGTGAGCCCGAAAACATGTCCGATGCCGAAATGTTCTATGTGGACATGATATTAAGCCAGGATAAAAAATGTAAGTTACCTAAAGAATGGAATGTTATTTTTCAATGTAATGGTAGACAAGTGCAATTTAAACTAGATACAGATTCTATGTTAAATGTAATTTCGAAAAATGATTTTTTAAACTTAGGCATGTCGATTCATAACGTAAAATATTTTAACAAATGTGTACAATCTTTTACTGGTAATAATTTACCTATTCTGGGCATGTACGAATTACCATTTATTTATAAAAGTAAACATTACATTTTACCATTTGTGGTAGCAGATTTTAACTGCCTAAATTTTTAAAGTTTAAATTTTAAAGGCGATTGAGGCGCAATCGCCGTCACTTGATAGTACGATGTGCAGACAGCGATGAAACGCGTCCCGCCGCCTGCGCTGCGAGTGCAAGTAACGCTAAGTTAGCTGAGTTAACGGCCCCGGCTGTAGCTTCAAACCCAGAACAGTTTTGGCCCTTTGTTTTCGACAGATAGTAAAACGGATATGGAAGGTCATAGCCCATGCATTAATCCTCCAATAACTAGGTCAAAAGCACGACTTATGGCTAAGATGAAATATCCGATGAAAGAAAAAATATAATAGTTGTTTTGTATAGAAGTTATTTACAAACTAATATACATATTCATATTAAGTGTATATTTTTAAGTCTCTGTATTCTGCAGATATTGACTTAATTGAGTTTCTTTTTAGGTTTACTATTATTTTTTAATTTCAATTAAACACTGTTCGATACTTGTTGAAGCAAAATAAATCATAAAACATAGAAGTGATTTATATTATAACATAATATATAGAAATATGTTCATGTAACGCCTAGGTTGCTTCCTTACTATGATATAGTGTTGCCCAAATGCAAGAACAAGACGGGACTTAGCAAGTCTTGGTCTTGGTCTTGCGCCAATACACTTGGTCTTGGTCTTGGTCTTGGTCTTGGTCTTGGTCTTGGTCTTGCAGCAAGAGTGTCGCAAGTCTCGCAATGATCTATTAGCCTATTACTATTTATTAAACGTTACTTTAGATCTTAGAACAACTTAACAGAGTAGGTACATATTGAGCTTGAATTAACATAGCCATAGTAAAGCCCAACCATATTAATAAATGTCTAAGCATTTAATGAGAAATTCGAAAAATCAACTGACACCGGGTGGGGTTTGAACTCACGACCTAAGCGATTCGTGCCTATGCTCTAACTAACTGAGCTATCTACCGTGTCCCACGGCCACGGGCGTCAGTT